AGAATTATGCATACTTTCTATTGTCTTTTTTTTTTTTTTTTTTTTCAAAACAAAGAGGGCATACTTAGAGAATTATGCATACTTTCTATTGTCTTTTTTTTTTTTTTTTTTGAATATTGATGGAGAAGGCCAAAAAAAAAAAAAAGTAAATTTATAGAACACTACACAATAAAAAAGGTCCATCAAGAGATCATGTCGTAGCAAAAAAAAAAACACACACACAAATATAATTGAACCTTGAGGAAAAAATACAAAAGATAAATTAATGATGTAATGAGGACTCAACCATCAGCTAGAGTATCTATTCAAATTGAATATGATATGCAACTAACTCTAGACTCTTGTAAAAGTCCAATTAATGACATACTTAAGCAAGTGTCAAACAAGGGGGAATAGGGAGATAGATAAATTGAAGCAACATCAACATTTGCGTGTAGCCACAAATTAACACCAAAACCCTTAATCTAGAAAGAAATGAGTAACATAACAGCAAGGGAAAGTAGCTGATAAAAAAATAGCCTCCATAAAAATGAAAATTGAAGTTTGTACTAGCCCACTAAAATAAAAAAAACTAGGTAAAATAAACAAACTCTTCAATAATAATAAAAGCATGTCAACATAAAAAAGAATGCATATCCAAAGATAATCACACTAAGACAGCATCTAAATATACAAAATTTATTTCACAAGAGGTGATCAATATGGCTCAGAATGTTTCCATCTCTTAAGCTTTAGACTGATATGTTATTAATCTTTAATAACAAGTTCTCATGTGTAGTGACTTTAAAATTATACATGTGTATATATGTATATATGATTATTTTATTCCATCCAAATATTGTAATGTAGCACAAAGATAATAAATGAGATTAGTTTTCTTATGACCTCATGGTTATGACAAATGTCAATATATTCCACACTTAAAGAAGAAATGCTCAAAAAGAAAAGGTATCCATGAGGAAGAGTATTTTTTTAATCAACCACATAGAGTAAGGATAACAAAAGAAGATAAGAGAATAAAATTTGGTCCCAACTAATAAAGAGCACATGAATTGTTAGCATGATTACCTCAACCAACTATAATATCATCAATTTTAAGGCCATTTAAACAAGCAACGAGTGTGCATACTAAAACTCCTATGCCTAATATATTTGTTCAATTAAAAATTCATAAGGTTAGAGCAAAGAGCTTTCCTTGCACTAAAAAGATGGACAATCTTATGTCCATCCCAATGTATAAAATCAATCCCTTGAGATAAGAAAATATTCTTAATTGAGTTTAGAGTGAGTTTAAAAGTTGGTGAAGGCACTAGGGATCACTCATTTCACATTATAGGTGATGAGTCGCTCATTTCTCATTATAGATGATGAGACTAGCATTAATATCCACCAAAAATTTAAAAGAGAGTAAGGACAATGCTTGGAGGTTTCTACGAGGGAATATCCATTAAGCCAAATGCCATACTATAGAGAGAGGAGCTAACTAAAGCTAATCCTAAATAAAGCTAGCCAAGCAATTAGGAGGAAATTAACTTGAGTTCCTTCAAAAAAAATAGGAAGCTTTTCTAATGTGCTCAAACTAAATGGAGCCATAGCAAGCATCCCACTAAGAACAAAGGAGATTGGATTTATTAAAGAGCCTCTAAATGATTTTCATCTCTCAAGAAATATTAAGCATGGCGAGAGAAGGGAAGCCCACACATCCTTTGGTTTTAGTGGACTAGTTTAGTGCAATAAGATAATATGCATTTTATAAGAGATGTCACCTTTAAAAATAAATGTTGAACATCAACCCCTACTAGTTTTCAACATACATATGCAAGGTGAAAATTATCTAAGCCAATAATATATATAACTATAGATAATGGTTTTGATGAATTGGAACCTCCTTGCCAATAATAAAATTTAAGACTTCCAACTAGAGATTTAATGATTAAGCCAATCTAGTAGCAACGGAGTGAAACCTTTAGTAATGATTCTTAAAGGAGTGAGATGCATATGCTAATACTTGAATGTAATCAGACTATATTGGATAATGAGAGTCTCACTATAAAAATTAGAATTATGAACAAACTTAACTCAATATATATCTCACATTTATTGAGGTTCATAGAAAGTCTAATAAGGTTCTGAAAAAAAAAATAAACATTTGTGGAGAATTACACTCATGTAAATACTTTAATTAACGTATCAAATAATTATGATTAGGATGAAGAAAGAAATCCACATCCGCTAAAAACCTTCAAGAGAGTCCTCATCCATTATCTTATTAGATAGGGCATTAGATAGGGTAATATAAAAAAATATATCATAATTGGATATGCTTTTTTTGGGAATTTTTTTGAATTAAACCATTAAAGAATTTAAATTTTAAAAAATAAGCTAAATGTAAACTTTTAAGCTTAATATATATTTCTTAGTTTTTTTTTTTATAAAAGAGATCAAATACACTTTAATTTTTTGTACTGCTCTTAAATAAAGTTATAACAATTAATTTGGATGATAACGTTAATTAGTAAGGATGTAAGCTTTAATTTCAATGATATTCCTCAACTTAAAGATAGATTAAACTTGAAGGCTAAGGAAATATGCACTAGGAGCATACAATCTTGAAAATATCATGATGCTAAAAAAATACAATCTCATATTGGGCTTTACTATTTTGATATTAGCTTTAAATTTAATTTTAAATTGATCATTAGATAATTATAAAAGATTTATCATAAAATAATGTTATATCTGCCATTCTCACATGTCTGTTGTAATAAAAGTAAGATAAGATCAAATACTGTCATAACAATGTCATATCACAAAGAGTTAGACTTAAGTGATATGTGACGAGGGTCCCCCTTAAGAAACAATCTTGGATGTCATTTTTAGACGTCCTTCCCAAGAATTCCACTTGTCGAGTCCCTCGAGTGGTCCTCTTAGAATATTATGAGAAGCCTTATAACTTTCTTGCTGAGAATGTTTTTTCTCATCCAAGATAATTTTTAAAGACCTAGATATTCCCCAACATGCCTCTTACATGTGTCTCAATAGAATAATTCAAGTAAGTTAACAAATATAAGGCATATGTTTAACTAATTAATAAGGAAATTTAAGTGTCAATTGGATCCATTTATCATATACATCAAGTCAATTTAAGTGTCAATTGGATTTGATATACTTTTGGGTTCAACGTGGGTTAACCTAATCAAGCTCATAGCCAACCTTATATTTATGCTATATATTGTCCCATAGGATCCAAAATGAAGTTTACTAATCCTAAAATAGGTTAAGGTAGGTAAATGTAGGCTCAAAGTCATTTAGGTTAGTTTGTGTTTATGTTTTCTCGGTGTCAACTATATAACTTTTCCCAATGAATGGTTCGATATGTCAATTATGCTCAATCGGTTCATTTAGTAACTAACAACTAATCACATTAGCAGGCTGATATTTTGTCCTAAGGAAGGGCATGCTGAACCTTTTAAGGTAATCTTCTGAATGAAACTAGAAATATTATATCAAATTAGGCTAAATAAATTATATTTTACCTTTCTTAACAATATTCTTGAAAGATTAATCATTTCTTATCTTTTGAGTTCCATTAGCTTATCTTAGGATAATTTCATCATTTCAATTAAGGGTGTCAATTTCGGGTCACGAGCGGGTTCGGGTCGAACCTGAAATTGACTCGACACTATTCGAGTCAACTCGAACCCAACCAATTTTTCTAAATAATTCATCTTTTCGGACCGTAATTAGACAGCTCCGGGTTCATGTCAACTTGACACTACCCGAATGATCTGGGCCTGACAAAAAATTCTTAGTTTTGGGGTAAAAAATGTATAATCAATATTCAACTAACAGATCATAAATTAGAGTTCATTTGATTTGAACTTGAGGTGATTGAAAAATTATTCAAAATGGATTATGGGACATAAGCTTTTAACATTAATCTCATATAAAAATGAGATAAATACCAACATAAAAAATTAAGATACTATTTCTCATGATGATACAATTTTCAAAATTAAAGCATCAATACTAATTTACAAAAAAAACACTTAAATTGGGAGGAAAGAAATTAAAAAAAATTTTGGAGGAGAAAAAATAATTAAGTTTTTATTTGAGATAATTTTTTTTACTGATTTATAAAATAATTTTTAAATTTTTTTTATTTATATTAAAAAATTATTTTAAAAAATAATAAGAAGCTGCTTGAAACGAAACCTAAAAATATTGGTACTAAAATTTCTACGATGTTGCGGTACACGGCAGGAATAATTACTTATCGTCCGTCTATTGCGTGTTCCGCGAGACCACCGATTCACAGAATGGGGATTTTGTCTCGGGCCTCTCTCATCCGACGGCCAGGATGATCAACTGTGCTACGGCGGGCCCCGCAGTAGTCGGTAATGTAAGCGAACGTACACAGCGGTTATGCGAGGAGGCGCACCGGTCGCGTGTCCACACCCTCGCGTCATCCCCCCACGGGCTTCCTCGCTACGCCCGTGTGGCCTCGGTCAGAAGGCCATGGCCATCCATCTTCTCTTTTACCACTCCATAGCCATCCATCCTTAGATTTAGAGCACGAACCTCAAGTGGATAAGATAAGGCATGAGGATTGGGGTCTACTATAATTTAGAATTTGTAAGGGAGCATATCCGAAAAAAGCCGTGGTAGTACAGTAAAACGGAATATCGAAACTGCCACACATCGCTTATCCGGGAAAGTGCTGGAACTTGGACGCATCCAAGGGTAGGTTCGACATTTGAAATCTACTGACAAAATTACCCCTTGACAAGACTGGGGCTTGCTATGTACGGTTGCAAGACGAAGTCATGAAGCAAAGGGCAGAGAATGGGCATCCTGGGAATTGGACATGGGAGGAGCGATGAGTGACACGTGGTGTAATCGTGAAGGGGAACCAATTTTCCTCGCCACGTAGCTGAGGTCGCGCGGTTAAGTTTTATCCTCGCCACGTCGGACACTCCCCCTCGCTCCTTATTTAAATTCCATCCTTGCAACGCCTCGTTTCTTCCTTTCAAAGAACAATTCGATCACTGAGCTTGCAATAATGGAAAATTCAGGCCATCTACTTTTTGAACTGGCCGGAAAAATTAACATCCGCCGGCGACGCTTTTGAGCTTTATCGCAGAGTCCCGTGAACCCTAGTGCGAAAGCGATCGGCCTTGGAGGACGGATACTCCGTTAATGGAGCGGTCTACTTTAACGTGCTTCTGATCGCGATTTTTGTGTTTCCTTTTTTTCGTGATTTATCTCCTTTCCCAACCGAATACCAGGCAGTCGCTTTAATTGAACCCGAGGTTTCCCGTTTTGGAAGGGGTATAGGGTTTAGGGTGAGATCGATCGTTCGATCGGAGCTCGAATCATCGTATTTTGAGCTCGGTTTGTGCCTTCTTGGTCCGGAAATGGAGGGATAGCACAGATTGACGGCTTTTCTGGAAGTGAGATTTCTTTGGCGGCGTGATGCCGTTCCCAACAAAGGTTCAGCCGGTAGATTTGAAGGGGTCTTTTGGGCGAAATGATCAGGGAAAAACCGCTGGAGGCAAATCACGGCTGAAGCGCCTTTTCGAGAGGCAGTTCCAGAGTGTACTGCGGATTTCTTCGTCGGAGAAGCTCGCCGGCGCTGGTGAAGGCAAGGGAAGTGATCGCGATGAAGGTGCTGTGGGCGATCCGGAGCCAAACTCGGTGTGCCTTGTGTTCAGCTTTATGGAGGACAGCAACGAAAAGTCATCGGGTGCAGCGGCGGCCCGGTGCGGCCGTAGCCGCTGTATCTGCTTCAATGGAAACTGCGACGACAGTACAGATGATGAGTTTGGCAGCGATTCTCCGCCCATCGCCGCCGGTTTCCCCGGCGACGGCATCGAGATCCTTAAGGTAGCCCACTCACTCCTCCGATCTGTATGACGTATTATCGAATAATCGATCATTTCATATCCCTTTATACATAATTTTACTTTTATTTTCGAAAATTGCTTGATCTGCGCTAAAATTAAAAAAATATCTACTCTCCTTCCTATTTTTATTAGAGCTTGGTGCCGTGCGCGAGCATTACGGAAAGGAATCTGCTAGCGGACGCGTCGAAGATTGTGGAGAAGTGCAAGATCGGTAAAGTGAAAGTCGATTGCCGGAAGATCACCGCTTCTGGGCTCCGAGACCTAGGTTACGATGCCTCCGTTTGCAAGTCTCGCTGGGAGAAAACCCCTTCGTTTCCCGCTGGTAACATCTCTCTCTCTCTCTCTCTCTCTCTCTCTCTCTCTCTCTCCAAATCGATTCCAATCCCTGAAATCGCTTACCCACCGACCTGCTTTTTTCTGGCAAACAGGCGAGCACGAGTACGTGGATGTGATCGTGGACGGCGATCGCTATCTGATCGACGTTGACTTCCGATCCGAGTTTGAGATTGCTCGTTCTACAAAGAAGTACCGTACGGTGCTCCAGTTGCTCCCGGCCATCTTCGTTGGCAAGGAGAATCGCCTTCAGCAGATCGTCTCCGTAGTTTCAGAAGCATCGCGTCAGAGCCTAAAGAAGGAGGGCCTTCACTTCCCCCCTTGGCGCAAGGCAGAGTACATGCGCGCCAAGTGGCTCTCCCCGTACCACCGCACCACATCTGCCGCCGTCGATGGTGCAGACGTCGCCGGAAAAGACGTCTCAGCCGACAGCCGTGCAGCCTGCCCGATATCTGCAGTGAATTTTTCCGGTGAGTTTGAGATTCGTCAGGGAAACGGCGGAATCGGCGTCGAAGGTGATGAGGAAAATAAAATCACTGTGGTGGTTTCGCCTTGGCAGCCACCAGCCGTTAAACCGAAGGCCGCTCCGCCGGCAGCTGGCTCGAAGGTCGTCGTCGCCGGCTTGGCCTCCGTCCTCCGGGAGAAACCCCCCTCTCCTATTTTTTGAATTTTATCCCTTTTTTTTAAAAAAATTTTCTCCACTTCATTTTTTGGTGTGAGAATTACGCGAGATATATATTAATCATATATAATATATCTCCGAGTTAGCCTATCCTTTTTATCTTATCAGAGGGCTTGTAAGGATTGTAAGAAGAGAGATCGAGCAACTGCTACCACTAAATATAACTTCGTATATTTCATAACTTTATTTTTCAGAATATTAAAAGTAAAATAAAATAAAATAAAAATGTGCTTACATTTTAATATTTATATAAAAGATTAATGAAAAAAATTATGATTATTGGTGTTCTTGGTTCAGTAGCCGGAGCAGCGGTTGTCGGTCCAAGGGAAACAGGAGGGGATGTGTGAGATCGAATAAAGGTTCTTTCTAATTTCCTCTCGTTCTACAGAGTTCTGAGTACTAGCTTTACCATATTTTAGAAATGAATTAATATGGATGCAGGACATCCACATGATAATTAATATAAATAAAAGAATAAATATGGGCTCGTGCCATCTCGGAAGCCGTGCGGCCGGTGCACAGCCCATGAGGATTGCGTGAGCCAACCTCACTTGGCTGCCCCACCACACGCGCCCCGCTCTGGTGAATAAACCGGTCCGGTCTGACTTCGCCCTGCGGTTTACATTATTGATTCAGCACGGCGCAATTGAATTTTGTAATTTTTTTCTTCTGATAATTAAAATGTATTGTACTTCTAAGCCTCTTTTTAAATATGAAAAATAAATTTTAATTGAAATATTTTTCTTTTTGGGGAAATAATTGAATTATTATACGAAGAAGACCAGAAGGGGAAAGAAATGGGTAAGAATTAAGAAACAGCACATCCGAAATGTGTGAAAGAGCTCATTTTCAGCGATGTAGTTTCCGAAGTCGGTGGAGGATGCTGAATGACCAATATAGCCTTGGAATATCTCGGATATTACGCTCATAGGTAGCAATCATCACGCTTTTCCGTGGGGCATTGGGTGGACAAAGGTTAGTAGGTTACTTTAAACAGAGGAGGCCTTGCCGGCACACGTTAGCACATCGGTATACCTAGGAGCTAACAGATGCACGGTTTTTGATGATCTATATTTCGGAGCGGCGAGCACCCACAGAAACTCGCGCATAAACCGCTCAAATTTTATCCACCAGCTTGGATTTCACCCATCAACCACCATCCTAACCGTCTGGTGGGCCCCAAACTGTGGGTGCGGTTTCTTGTCAGTGGATGGATGACGTATCCGACTTGCTTTGGAGTCTTTTGCTTTGGTGCAAAAATAAAGTTTCCAAGTTAAATCTTTTGGTGAATCGATTCTCGGACTCTTCAAAATATGTCTCCTTTTTATTTTTTAATTATTCCTAAATATTTCTTTTCCCAAAAAAAAAAATCGATGAGAATTGAGAGTTATGCCGGAGCACTTTATAACTATAATATGACCGAGTTATTACTCCTCCCAAAATAAGGATTAGTGTGCTTAAAAGATTTTTTATACCTTGATAAATTTGAATTTTGTTAAATTTATTTTTAAACGGGGTCAAATATAAAAAGTAATTTAATTTTATATTATATTGATTTTAAAATATTTTGTTTACATTTAAAAGTAATTTCAATCCTAAGCTAGGTTTAAGTTGTGGATAAGTTCAAAATTTTCTTCTAAGGAGTTTTGACATCTGTCATTGGAGCTAAATTAATGTTTCTAATTCATCATTACATCTATACTTAAAATAGTAATGAGTTAATTAATGATAATAATTAATATAATAAATAGGGAAGTAACAAATTGAGAGCAGTCTATTAAGCTCATGCAATCTCATGTAACAATACATTGATCTCATCTCTTCACATATTGTCAATTGTTTATTAATGAATTTTTATTAATTTGAAAAAAAAAAAAACATTTGTCGAACACCCTGATCACGCAACTAGTCGTCAATTACTCTCACAAGCTCCTCTTCTTCATCTCAAACCCAACACCTCTCATTTCTCCCTTTTACTCTTCATTGAATTCCCAAAATCTCAATGCAAGAGAGCTAAAGAAGTCATACAAAAACTGCATAGACGAAATATTGTCGGGTCTTTTGTCATGCAAAGTAAGAAGTCACCCTTCTTATGCTATCGGACACGTCTGGTCACGATTTTGTGGTGACTTTATAGTTTGGTGAGATTCAATCATAATTTTGTCTTCTTATTTAAGATTTTGTAAATTCTTAGGATTTCTATTAATAAAATACAACATATTAATTAAATAAATAAATAATAAATTTAATTATTAAATATATGAATGTAATAATTTTAATTTCTTTATATGAAACTCCTCTAATTTAAAATTATATAGAACTTTTAAATTACTATGAACTTAAAAGCTTCTTTGGATTCTTCAAAAATGATCATTTCAAACTTAAATGACACTCAATTCATTTAAGTTGGGAATCTTTTGCTTTTAAGCCAATCTGTCATCTATAGTGCAATTCACTCCAAAAATGCCCCTTTCAATGACACAGAAATGCAAAATTCATTTATTGCTGCATTTTAAAAAAATTAATAAATTTGTCCAAATTTTCAAGTTTATTTGGCGGTCCCAAATGCAGACGCGGGTCGCTGTCACCCGCGGCACAACATAACTTCCGCTGCGGTGATCTCACCCCGGCGGTCACTGTCACCTCTAGAAGGGAGAAGTTTGGTATTAAAATTATAATTAATATGATAAATGAATACTTAATAAGTGGTTAATATTTTTATGGAAAAAATTATATTTGAATATTCTGATATTAATTTTATTAATCTATGTTTAAAAAATATTGAACTCAATTTAATATTAATTCATATAAATTTTTTATATATAATACTAATATCAAAATAAATTCAATGACTTTCAAATTCATTGTTATACAATTTATATAGAATATCTTAATGTAAATTAATTTTTTAAAAATTATGATAGTCATGATCATATTAAAATTTATGTATATTTTAAAAGTATAATATAGCTTAGAAATTAGTTAACAGTGGCCATACAAATAATATATTTCAAATTAATGAAAATATTACTAAATTTTAATATTTTTATAGTTTTAATATTTTTCTTAACCCTATATGTGCAGCCATTGCTTGTTGAACTTGTGCAAGTCACTTATTTTATTCCTACACATTATCAAATTCTTCTTACTATATTTAAATCATTTCCAAAGCCTTATCTCCTCATTTAAGAAGCTCAAACCAAGGAACTTTTATTTGGTCCAGTGCAAGGACCTAGAGGAAGATTCGGTTTTGCCTCAAAAAGTGCAAATACCGAGTTTTTTGAAAAAATACCGAGTTTTTTTCAAAAAACTCGGTATTTGCACTTTTTGACCTATTTTTGCCTAAAACCGAACCTTCCTCTACATCCAGTGAAAGGACCTAATAATTGCTCCAAACCAAGGGGGGAGAGAGAGAGAGAGAGAAGATTTGGTCATCCAATTATGAGTCATATTCTTATGGAAAATTATTACTCTCAAGTTAGGATATCTTTTCTCCATCTGATATTTCCTTATTACCATCCCTTATAGGAGTTATTTTATGATTTACATAAATCAATTTCTCATTAAATTTTGATGGATTTTCTTAATTATGATAGAATTATTGCGTGTTATAATATTCATAGTAGAGGAGTGAGTGTCGTTTTAGCTTTGCATGAAGATGTTGCACATATATAGATAAAATAAGTTTAGAAGAGACACTAAAGTTTTTTACTTCAAATATTAAAAAAAAAAATCATGGAGCATAACCCACTTGAAATAGTCAACTATACAAGTGGTTATAGAAATCTATCATTCATCTCAATTGGAAAAGATACGATTATAATTTATAGAATTTTAATTTGATCACATACGGTGATAGTTCAAAATTTTGAAGAAATAATGATGGGTGATGATGGTGATCAATAGATATCAGTCAGATAATGACGATTAGAGAAATATCAATCAAACAATGATGATCGAGTTATTGCAATTGAGCTACAATGGATGGGCAATAATAATCAACCAATAGAGGTCAGGCTATAATGTTTGCTTCCATAGTAATTGAACTACATGTAATAACTTAATTCAAATCTTATATGTTTATGAAACATTTGCTAATTTTCTATGAATTCATAGGATTATGTTAATTGGGGGTTGAACTTGGGAGAAAAGTCTGATGAGTTGGAAATGTAATAGCCCATATTTTGATTTTATCAATTTTTTTCTCGAGTCATAATAACTCCAAATTGCAAACCGTCTTTGCCATAGTATTTTGATTGTAATATTTTATTAACACAAATTTTTTCATAATTTTTGGACACTGGCAAAAATCTTTAAAGAATTTATACTTATCAGTACAAGTGTGCATTTCGGGATCGTTAGGTGTCCAATTTGTAAATCGATTCTATCGATATTTTTTAAATATTATATTATATATTATATTATTATAAATATCATATGTCACTAAGTATTTTAAAAAACATATTCCTATCCATTTTCATCTATAGAGGCATGGCTTAAGATATTATGAGAGAAATATGAGGAGAGAGAAATATGAGAGAAACTGAGATTTGGAGACTGCGGTGCAATTTTCGTCCTTCAGGCATACTAGGATATTTTCTCATCATGTCGTAAGGAATCCATACCCTATTTTTGATTTCAAAGATTTTGTGCTTTTGATATTTTTTTTATTAAATTTATGTTTCTGTTACCGAAAAATATGAATAACTTTGTATTAGTAAAAATTTTACTATGTAATATTTTGTATGTTATAAAGATCATGATTATGAGTATTTTGAATATTTATTTTAGATTTTTTACATTATGATTTTGAAAATACAATGATTTTTATGTACCCAAAAATTTATTTTGATGTCAAAAAATTATAGTGTGGTACAATAAAAATCTTAAAACATCATTTTGTACTATTCTTGATATTTTAATAATTTTATAAAAATGTGCATTTTTGTCTATTATGATTCTTTGTTGTCTACCGTTATGACATTTTGGCATCTTCTTAATTAAGTTCAATTATGCATTATTCATTACAATGCATTAAAAATAAATGTTGGTATGTGCTTGAGTAATAGCTGATCACTCTTACTATTATAGTATTGTGATAATAATATACGTGTGTGAAACAAATAAGTAAAGACTGGTTGACCTATTGATTTGAGACTGATTGACATGTACAGAATGGTGGGCCGGAGGATTTTCCTTTAAATACTGTAGTTTAGTGTTATCATCTACTAATTCACGTGATACATTGATTAAGAGTTATAAGGAGATCATTA